TCGTCGTCGTCAGCAGCAGCAGCAGCAGAAGCAGCAGCAGCGTCTGCATCTTCATTATCAGCCGTCACAGCGTGGTTATCATCCTCAGCATCATCCTCGTCACTAGAATCATAATCACAATCATCAGCATCATGCTGATATTTATTAACACTAACAATAAAAATAAACACCATCGCAGTATCATAACAGAAGTATGAATAATAACGATATGTTTACTAAGAATAAGTTTAATAAAGATCATCACCAGTACATCAGCAGCATCAGCATGATCATCATCACCATCAGCATCATCATCATCATCATCATCATCATCATCATCATCAGCATGATCATCATCACCATCATCAGCATCATCATCATCATGCCTAGCATCATCATCACAATCATCATCATAGTCATATTCATAATCAGCATCATCATGATCATCATAATCGTCGTCGTCATCATCATCAGCATCATCAGCAGCAGCAGCGGTATCATCGGCATCATCGGTACTAACCTATCGGTCCTCCTGAATCCTCCTCATCGTCCTGATCATCGTCCTCATCATCATCACCATCACCATAACCATCACCGTCATCATCATCAGCGTCAGCAGCAGCACCAGTAGCATCATCATCATCATCAGCATCATCATCATCATCATCATCATCATCATCATCAGCATCATTATCATCATCATCATCATCATCATCAGCAGCAACAGCATCATCATCATCAGCAGCAGCATCATCATCGATACTCCCCCTCGTTCCTCCTCCTCCTCCTCCTCCTTCTCCTTCTCCTCCTCCTCCTCATGGTCCTCCAAATCATCATCATCATCATCACCACCACCACCACCACCAGCACTACCATCATCATCATCAGCATCATTATCAAAAATATCAGCATCATTATCATCATCATCATCATCATCATCATCATCATCATCATCATCATCATCATCATCATCATCATCATCATCATCATCATCGTCACCATCACCATCGATACTCCTTCTCGACACTCCTCGATACTCCTCCTCCTTGGGCCTCATCGATCCTTGATCCTCCTCCTAGCTTTCGGGCCGACGTCGAAGTGGAAGCCAGGCTGCGGCCGCACGAACTGCGGCCTCGCTGGCAGACGGACTGTGTACGCCGCTGGCAGAAGCGACCCGCAGCCCGCCTCTCCTGGAGGGTTGCCGCGCCTTCAGCCCGGCTCCCCCCCCCAGCCTTATGATGTTCCAACCTATGTTAGCCTTGATCACCTGAGAAAATTCGAGCACCAAAAAAGTACCGAAACTCGAAGGTCTTCACGTGTCGGGCCCTGGGACATACTCGTTCGGCACTGTTTCGACACTGTCTCCACACCTCTCCGGGTGCTCGAACTTATTTCTCGGATGCTGTGGCCCGTCCGCACGACAAGAGCAACAGAACCCCAGCCCGGCTTCCCCCCAAGGCTCGTGCTCCGTCCTCCTCATCCTCCTCCTCCTCCCGACGGCCTATAAGACGAACCCAAACCCAACCCGAAGACCCGAGCTTCGTGTTTCGGGGGGGCACAGGGCAGTTTTTAATACATCGGATGTTTAAAAAAATATGATGTTTGATACCTGCTTAATATATGAATACGTGTATGCATGAACTCATCGTTGTTTTTGATGCTAAATCCCTGCATGTTTTGATACATGATCCGCACGCGGAGCATGTCTGAAAAACGGCACTGCACGCCGGCCTCACATCGCCTTCGGCACCGCCTGATTCCGGGGCTTTGCCCCCTCCTGGCCTTGACGTGAGGCCCCTCCTTCTCCCCCCCCCCTCTGCTAATTAAAGCTGTGCGCGGCCCGCTTAGCTTCGACCGGAAGAGGCTCGCTCTCGACCCGCGGATCCAAAAAAAAGTGTGTTTCACCGTCCCCCGAACCTCGCCCCCCCTGGGAATGGAGGACAAAGTGGTGATCCCCTCTCCAAGACCGCTCAGGTGCGGCGCGAGGCGGCTCGGTCCCCCAGAGCAGGGCAGCCTCCCCGACGACGCGCTGCCGCGGGGGCAGGGGGCGCCCTGTGCGGGGCTGCGCGGGGTGGCTTCCGGCAGACCACCCGCGTCTGCGAGCGGGGTCCGGCTGCCGTGCCAAAAGCCACACAGCATCACGGCCCCATCGCCGTGGAGAAACAAACAAAAAAAAACTAAAAAAACCTGCGGCTCTTCACATCTGATGTGTGTGTGCGGTCTGAAGCTCGCTCTCGACCCGCAGACCAAAAGAGTGTGTGCGGTCTTGGGGGGGGGGCTCCTCCCCCGCTCCTCCCCCCCCGTCCCCTCCCCTCTTCTCCCCCTCTCCTCGCCCCCCAATCCCCCGCCCCCTCCCCGCCACTCCCCCTCCCCCTCCTCCTCCCCCCGGCCCTTGGACACCGGGAGGGGGGGGAGGACGGAAAACGGGAGCGCGTCCTCGGCCTGCGAGGCCGAGCCGAGGCCTCGGCCCCTACCACTCTCGGCTCGCGCAGAGGGCCGGGGCCGCCCCCCAGCCCAGGCCACCGAGGGAGCGCGCTGCGCCCTGCTCCACAAGTTGATGGCCACGTGGGAACCCTTTACCAGCCTGGAACATAGCCCTATCCCTAAGCTGGACATCGCCTCAACACAATGCCAATCTTAGGGACTCCCTCAGCTTTTCGCGGCGCATCCCTAAGATTGTCATCGCCTTTTGGCGTGTCAATCTTAGGGATAGGGATGAGTTCGAGGCTGGTGAACCCTGCCTCCACCCCCCACGAGTTCTAAGGGGGAAGGTTCAGTCCGCTCGGGAGCTCCCGAACGAAGAACCCCCACCCTCCCCTGGAAACCGTGCGGGGTTCGTTAAAGGCTTAACGACTTCTGCCGTCCTTCGACTCGCGCTGGAGCCGCCGCGAGCTGCTCCAACTTTCCCTGGAGATCTCTGGACTCACCTGGATTTGCTTGGATTTATCTCGATGTACCTGGTTTTACCTCGATTTACCTGCATCTGCCTGGATTTACCTGGCTCGATCCCCACGAGTCGACTGGCGAAAAGTCGACAAGCCCTTGGGGAGGGGTGGGGGCAGGATTCACATGTGGCCACCGGACAGCGCCACCCCCTCCCCCAACCCCTCCCCCCGGGGCGGGGGGACCGCCCGGGCCTCGGCCGCCTTCCCGGCGTACAGGGCGCCGATCTTGCCGAACCAGTCGAGGTCGGTCAGGGCCGACTTCACGTCCGCCTGCCACCGCGGCAGCCACCTCCTCCCCTCTCCTCCGCCCTTCTCCTCCGCCCTCCTGAGCCGCCTCCTGAGCCGCCCTCCTCGTCCGCCCTCCTCGTCCGCCCTCCTCCTCATCCTCCTCCTCGCACTCGTCCTGAGAGGAGGGAGGAGGATAAGGAGGAGGAGGAGGAGGAGGCGGACCAGTGTAAACCCAAGACTCGTGAACGATATTGCAAGAAACAATCCCTCCAAATTCCCGCTTCATAGGCTCCTACACGGATCCATTTTCACTGTAGAAATACCCCGTTGGACGACAACCGTTCGAAAATCTGGAACTGCACCAGAACACCATTCCAGGGACTTCAACGCCGCGAATCACAGGTAGTCTTGAGTCTTGACAATCCTGAATCGTGCCAAAACACTTTTCCTGGGACTTCAACACCGGGAGGCAACGTGACTGTTACACCCTGACGTTCCGACATCGTGCCCAAACACCATTTCTGGCACGTTAGCCATGATAACCATTGAATATGATGCAAACTCCTACGACACATGTCCGCGGCGCTAAGGCGAGAGCCACATGTTGGAAAGGAACCGCCCTCCATACCTGAGAAACTCTTGCAACAAATCAAGACGAATGCGCGCGGCGCTGCGGCGAGAACCACATGTTGAAAAGGAAACGCCCTCCATCCGTGAAACCCTTGCAGACGTTTAACAAGAATGCGCGCGGCGCTAAAGCGCTCAAGCGACAACCACATCTTGAAAAAGGGCCGCCTCGACCGGCCTCGGGGTGAGACAGGAAAGGGTTCTCCACAAGGAAAAGCAATGGAGGGAGGCGGAGAAGGATGAGGAGGGCGAGAACGAGAAGGAGGGAGGATGCGGAATATGGTGGTGGAGAAGGGTAGAAGACAGGTAAGGAAGAAGGATGAGGCGCAGGAGGAGGATGGAGGAAGGAGCGGAAGAGCATGAGGGAAGAAGTGGAGGAGGGCGGCGGAGGACGGAGGATGACGAACAGGGGGAGGCGGGAGAAGAAGAAGAGGAGCAGGAGGAGGAGTAAAACAGTTAAAGCGGAGTGGGAGAAGTAGAAACAAGACGAGGAAGACTGCTGTATCATGCCTGCTCGCACCTGCCGCATGCCATAACACTCGAGAAACCTCCGACAAATCGTGAGACGATGTCGCATCGATCGAAGTAGGCGTAAAAATGCACCGCGCAAACCCTGAACCCTCTGAGTCTGGGGACAGGTCGCAACGAGAAATGATTTGCGGGCTGGGGGTGGTGCTCCACGGGTCCCGAGGAAACAGGAGGAACGCAAGGGAGGAATGAGGAGGAGGGATTTTGGCCGACGCTTCTGCTCAGAAAGGTGTGCCCTAATCCCCGTGCCAGGGACCCCAGGCCACTTCCGAGCGGCACCAGCTTGAAAAAGTACTTCCCGCTGCGAAGATTTGCCGCCAACCGTGCTCAGGTCTCCAACACGGGATCCCTCTGCCGTCCATCCCTCCATCCCTCCTCCTCCTCCTCCTCCTCCTCCTCCTCCTCCTCCTCCTTCTCCTACTACGACTACGACTACTACTACTACTACTACTACTACTACTACTACTACTACTACCACTACTACTACTGCTACTACTACTACTACTACTACTACTCCTTCTTCTTCTTCTTCTTATTCTTTTTTGTTATTCTTCTTCTTATTCTTCTTCTTCTTCTTCTACGACTACTACTACTACTACTACTACTACTACTACTACTACTACTACTACTACGACTACTACTACCACTACTACTACTACAACTACTACTACTACAACTACTACTACTACACTC